AAAACCTTTAACTTCTCATTGTTAACAGGAATTCTGTCTGTATTTGAGCTATATTTCAAAGTCAGCATACACATCATTGAGGACAAGATAGTATAACGTGTTTGATTTATAATTGATATGGCTGTCCAGTCTTTTTTGTAGGCTGTCCTTTTTACAATGCACCCAAGACTTTCCATTTTTCACAACATGTAATGTGATGTGATATTTCTGAAAGAGAATATACAAAGCCCAAAGGGGAGATGTCCATTAGTAAAGAGTTCAGTAATTCACAGTTTAAACACAACATGAAATTCATGGTCCATAATATTTTCTACCCTTATGTGGATGCTTACATCCAGTCATTTGATCCAGTAGAGCATGTTGTGATCATTATATTTGAGCTCGTATGTAAGCACGTAACAACATGTAAAGCCCAATGGCTTCCTCTGGAGAGGTGGGTGGATGAAGATTGTTTTCTGCCATGGCAAGGCAGTAAATGTCAAACACTGTGTTATCACAGGGATATGGTCCTCTCTGACGGCATTCCTCTCTGCAGGCTTGAACCTTTTGTTGGGATACCTCTTTGAGGTACTCTCTGGCACCATTTAGTTGGGTTAAGTTGTACATCATTACTGGGCGCCCACCTGGAGACACAGCATTTCTGCATGGGCGAATTCTGTGAGTGTTCCAAAGGTGAACAATGTCCTGCAGTTCTCTCTAAATATAAATAAAAACAGAAAGTGAGAAAATCAGTTCACACATTTGCAATACCAACTGCTGTAGCTATATATTATGATGCATTAAACTAGCCAATAATATAGTTCAAATCATCTCAATCTTAAACATCTGCAATAGTAAACTGTACAATGCAACCTTAGATACATAGTAAAACACTGACAGGGAACATTTTACTGCATTTTATACTTTTCATTAGCCTGGCTTCACCAGACAAATTCAACAATGTGAATTGTCCTGCCAGTTCAAATGAATTTGAGAGCTGGCAGACAGTCTGGTTTACCAGGGTAACTTTTCATACTTTAAGTACTTTGAATATATACACTGCTGATAATACTGTCCTTTTACTTCATATAACCTACTTTGAGTGGGATTCACAGTGTGGTATTAGTACTACAATTAACCCATTACACAGGGCGGTAGCTACTTTGGTAAAATACTTTTGGTGAAGTAAAACCTCTTAATACTTCAACCACTAAACAGGTGTCAATGGTATTATTCTGACACATTAACTGTGGTCAAGTCAGCCGCTCCAACATTTCAAGTGCACCCGTATTGCAGTAAATACACGGATACGGCTGATAAAGTCAGCGCTAGTGTACTACAGCGTGTATAAACTTCCGGTTTTCAAAATAAAATGTGAAAGGCAATAAAGAGACAGACATGTCAAAATGATCCAGCGCTGATTTTAAGCCATTATGTCACATGACCCTGGAAGCTATTGAGCTAAAATGCATTTTTTTCATTATAAATTAATGTTTTGACACATAGGCCTATCTTTTTATTGCCTTTCACATTCTATTTTAAAAACCGGACGTTTGTACATGCTGTAGTATACTTAAACTTATTTTCTCAGCCGTATCCGAGTAAAGGCTACAATACAGGCGCACTTGAAATGTTGGGAAGGCTGGCTTGAACACACAAAAACAAGAGACGGCTGGCTTGACCGCAGTTATGGCACTATGGGGGAAAAACACCAGAAATGTATTGCACCTTTGAGGTATACATAATAGCCTAGCTACTATATAAAGCAATGAGGATACATTACGGAGCTTGCCATATGTGTCCAACTGATTCTGGAGAAACACTGCAATGTCCAGCAGATCTGAATGGGCTTTTCATCTGAACAATTGCAAAGTCTTAAGGTGCCTGTGTAAAGTTGACAAACTAATGATAACACCATCTATATGACTGAAAGACAAGAGTATCTCCCAGTGTCTCAAACCCAAAACAAAGTAAAACTGGATTAAACTAAACAAGCGGGTCATGTTTGCGTCCAATATGTCGAGCTCTCAAGAAAGGAATGAAAGTGTCTGTTGTTCTATTGCTCTCTTAACTCAGAAAGAAATACTCAGAAAAACAGAAAAAATTACCACAAAAAAACAAAAAAAAAAAGTAACACTAAAAACAGAAACAAAATTACCATGAAAAACAGAAAAAAAATTACCATGAAAAACAGAAAAAAAATTACCATGAAAAACAGAAAAAAATACCACAAAAAAACAGAAAAAAATTACTACGAAAAACAGAAAAAAAATTACCATGAAAAACAGAAAAAAAACACGAAAACCAGAAAAAAATACCACGAAAAACAGAAAAAAATACCACGAAAAATAGAAAAATGAAAAATTACTCCGAAAAACAGAAAAAAATTGCTCAATAAAACAGATTTTTTTTTTATTTGTCAAGTGAATGCAATACGCTTCTGTAAAAAACTTCATTTTCACGTTCTTCTGTTTTAATTTTAAAACAAAAAAACAACAACTACAAAACGTGTCATTTCTGTTGTTCTGTTTTCCAGTTTTCTGTTCTGGTTTTAAAACAGAAAAACAGAAAAACAAGATTGTTTTTCTGTTTTTCTGATGTGGTTTTGAAACGGAAAAACGAAAGAACAAAGGGTACACGGATTATGTTGTGCCTCTCCCCATGACAGGTTGATCTTTTTCAACTCCAGTGTCACAGTTCTCCGCCCTGGAGCCCTGCAGATGAGAAATACACCTCACCTGCTCCCACTGTCGCTTGGGAAAAAGTAATCTGGATGGGCGGAGGAGTGTGTATGACGTATCGTGTTTTTGAGTCTTTCTTGATGTGTGTGTGTGTGTCTGCTAGAGGGAGAGAGCCACAGGTGAGAGCAAGAGAACCAAAACACCGAACTGAGTCTCATGCCCATGGCCTAAAAATTGTTGTGACTGTTTCTGCTCAGTCATTTTATATATCCCACATGGAACAAGCTGCAATATATTGAGTATATTTGATATACCCATCCCTCCTTACAACGCAGGTCAAACACTTTGTTTATAGGTTGGTTTGCAAAAAGAGAGTGGTAATGTTTAGACAAACAAAACCATGTTGTTAGGTTTAACATAAAAACATAATGGTTTGGCTTAAAAGTCACACAGGGACCGAAAAGCAGGCTCTCAGGTTAAAGTCCAGATTTTGTTTGACCCACCCACCACCCCTCTGAAAGACTGTTTTTGGGTAATTTCGTCACTTTCCGGGCTTAAAGAGAAACCTTGTGAATTCCATATTTTCCAGGATGTATTTTGAGATCTGTTTCAAACACTACATGCAGAGGCAGAAAACACACCTCAGCACACTTAATCTGAGCTTTTTCTTTCTGTATCAAACACACACACACACACACACACACACACACACACACACACACACGTGTCCTGGAACACTGCTCATTTTCTTTCCTGGTTGATGACGCACTACAGGGATGTGGCTGCTTTGTAAGATTTAATTAGGCTACTGCAGCATGCTAATGAGATAGAAAGCAGCATTTAGGACTATCTAGACATTAAAGTTTGCTACAGTAGATGCTCATAACTTCTGCAGTACCAACATTAAACATCACTTGATCAGAAGGCAAAATTACAATTGCTTCATGAGCACAAAGAACATGTAGGTTCATAACAGAGAAGTTGGTATCATTTCAGTCAAATGTGAATCACGAAGAAACACGAAGCTGAGCAAGACAGCAAGGGACTGAGGAGCGCAGCAGGTCTGTCTGATCACAAACAGTATCGACTGTGTTGTTGACAGACGCTCTTGTTGCTGTTTCTTTTTTGTTTTGTTTTGTTTGTGATTTGTGATATTGGGCTTTATAAATAAAATTGATTGACAAGGTGACCACCACAACCAACAATAACAATGTCTTCAGCTGATTTTTTTCTTAATGTCAGGAATAGACTGTCTCACCTATAGTGCATGCCATAGATCCACTGTCCACTAGTGCACTGAAAACATGTCCATCATCAACAGTCACATCTGTGTAGAATAGGCTATCAGTCTTTGAGAGTTTTTGTAGGCTTTGCACGATCAGTGTTTTCTGTGGTGGCACCATGCTGCTGCAGGTGTGATACTCATAATAATCAATGTCTGTCAAATCCAGAGTGGGAGGTTCACTCACTTGATCTGCACTGTCCTCCCCTGCACGCAGATCATTCAGTTTCCCTGCTGACCAGAAAAAGGAGGGTGTCTCCCCTCTGGGCAGTTGCATATTGAATGGCCAGGTAGGTGACACAGGAAACACAGCCTGTTCTCTTAACAGTGTGTGAGGGCAGAGTGAGAGCTGTCTTTATATATGGAACATGGCATGTCATTTAACCCCTCAGTTTTTTGAAGTTGTAGTGTAAAAGATTGTGCCAACAAATCAAACAGTAAGGTTAAGATGTATAAATTGATTAAGAAACTCATATAATCATGTTTT